GTGGCCGAAGTGGTGGAAAGGACCTGAAGCGGGTTTCTGCCGGAGCCGAAGCGTGCTCGCAGGCCCGATCCTAGCAGAGCTTGAGGTGTCTGCCCTGGGGTCGGTGGTGGAAGGGTAGTTTTGCCTGTGTGACTCTGCAGCCTGGGCAGACTGTGCTGGAGGGTGACAGGACTCGAAGGCCTGCGACAGGTTTTGTGGGACGCACACCCCCACAAACACGCACTTTTAAAATTTCAGCATAGGACCGATGGGTGTAAAAGGCTCCCCGAGAGATATCTGACATCTGTTTTCTATAACCTTAGTCATTTAAGCACAGTTCTGTATAAATCAATTTTTATATGTTGACTATACATTGAACACTTAAATCTGAACTGTGAAATTACTCATATTTAGCTCTTCATAGATTAAAGGCAAGCCAGAAATCCAGGAGTGGTCTCTCATACACAGAGGATCTAAAAAACATTTTCAAATACATGTTTAAAGATACATCTGGGCCTAATTCCTTGAAGGACTTTGCAGACATGCATAATTTCAGAAGACTGCTACCTGATCTGTACATACATGTAAATTTGACAGAAAATTAGGGTCTGTCATCAGAAGCAAGTGAGATGGTGCAAATGACACTGCGACCCGCAAGAAAGCTGAGCTTCATTCAAATTGAGCCAAGGAAAGTTGGACTGCATGCTTATGCTAGCAAAACTTTTGAAGATTGTCTGCCCAAATCTGGACTCAGCTCTTGGGAAGCTGCCTTCTTGTACATGCACAAATACCCTACTGCATGAACAATTGTGGTTATGCTATACCCTGATTACATGCACAGTTTTGCTAACACAAAAGCACTTGTAGCCAGTGTAGTTTATCCCCTATCGACCAAGAAAGATAAACCATTTGATGTAACTGTGTCCATGTCCAGTAGATGGTTTGTTCTCGGAAGGATTTTGAGGTCCTGTAGTAAGAAATTTGATAAATGATGTTTCTTATGTTGCAGCTTAAGCCATGCCCTGGAATAAAATATATGAGACAACGGGACATTTTTTTCCTGTATAATTGTGTTTGCAGTCAAGTTTTTGACAGCCCACATATGTCAGTTGTAAGTGTCATTCTTTTTGAAGAGGTAGACCAAACCTACAAGTCACAGCTGTGTAACTGTGATGAATGTATCTCAGCTGCCATAGTTGTACCAATCTAACTGAACATCTAACTGAAAAATTAATTCCTATCCTTTAACTAAGGAATCACAATAAATGCCCAAATACCCTAAAAAAAACCAAGACAGATCAGGCTGTGTCAGTGATTAAAAAAAAAAAAAGCACTCACATTTCAGGCCCTCTGTATTTGCTAGAAAAGTTTTTTAAAAAACAGCTGTCTTATTCAATTTACATCCTTTTAACATAACATTGGACTAAAGGTGTACATTGACTCTTGGTGAACAATCTGTAATAATTCTGAAGGCATATGGTCTAAGCATATGATCTTCATAGAAGGTGCACTTGGGAGTAATGTCATGATTCCTTCTAAGTACTCGGGCGAATAGTCATACCATAGTTTATTTTACCATTCTTATTTTGTAGGTCATTGCTTTAGCCTGAGAAGCTGAATCATGGGATTAAGAATGTGATTTAGTGAAACTTGGAGTGATAAAAGAGGAAGAATGTTGCAACATTTCAGTTGTGCAATAGCTTAAAATGAACTATAACAATTAAATAGAGCTTTTACGGGGGAATTCCAGTTACAGAAGGAGAAAAACATAGACAAATTTTAGTTCAATATTTCTGTAATTCTTAGTTACATTCCTTAAGTACCCTGTGTATGCCTTGAGGTAACTTGTTAATTACATTTGTTTACCATAACAGCTGTCACAGTGAGAGAAAGACCACATCTAGATTCATCATTGAAACTGCTGATATATCATGAAGTAAACCATACAAATACATTTCTGTGTAGATAAAAATTAATATGATTTTGTGTTTTCTAGCAGCTGAGGCCTAAATGATGATTAAGTTGTGCCCAAATTAGTTCTCTTGCTCATACTACTCAAAATCCAAACTAATTTCGATGTGCTGGGGTGGCTGTTTGGTGGTTTGAATTCTCAGTGAAAGAGTGAAGAGAATTTTCTGTGAGGTGTTTGCTGACAGTTAGCAGCTCTGGATCAATCAGAAGCCGTGCAGGCAGAATATAATCTTCCTACTTTAAAAATTTGGGACTTGAGTTTGGAGAGAAATAGTTTATGATGGCTTGACTGTGAAGAAAATTTGATGATGATGAGTCTTTTGGCCCTAAAATATTTAATCCCTGTCTCCTCTGCCTTCTTGTCTTTCCACTCTTCAGAAGACTGTTTGACTGTAGAATTCTGCTACATGAGACGGTGACACAAATGCGGTCACCTTCATATAGAGTTCCCCATCTTTTCCATGGTGGTTGTGCTCACCTGTGCACCACTGCAAATAAATGAGCACAAGTTTTGGTGTTGTATGTGCCATTTTCTTTATTCTTTTTCATTAAAAGACAGTAACTATCACAGAACACTTTTTTTAATTATTATTTTTTCCAAAGCAATAGACCAGAAGTAAAATGAAAATGTACATAAGTCTTTATTTAGCTTCAGGGATTTTTTTACTGGAAAATATGGCATTAAAAAGATTGTGTCCTTAAAACTCCACTGCAGTGCTTTGTAAATACGTTGTAGATATGATAGAGTATTCTTGGTATGAAATTTCTTGAAAGCGTACATCTAAGATTATTTAGTTTAAAAATCAACAATAACAAAATTCACCTATAAAGCCTTAGCTTGAGAAAAGCTTTAGTTAAAAAATGGACTTCAGTGCAATTTCATGTTATTTGGATTGCTCTTATGATGTGAAGTGTTCCAGGAACTTCAGATGGCTTTCTTTGCATATGCCGGTTCCATTCTCTTCTCACCTGAAGTCCTTCAAAACTTTGAAGTGACCACAGTCTGGTACTTAGCATAGAGCAGTTTCTGATTTGCAAAAGTGCTTCAAGGTTGTCACAAGTGGCCCACTATTTAAATGGAGTCCTTTGTCGTATTTATGAAAACACTCCAGAAAGATGAAGAAAAGATGTGAAGTTCAAGGTTAAAAAATGGGCTAAATGAAGAATGGATTAAGGTGATTTTTGGAAGTGTCAAACAAAAAAATGAGAGGTACTGTACTGTTTTCATCAATTCCTCTATCAAAGAGAAACAAGATTAATGCAGACTACAAGCTGGCGCAAGTCTGCAGAAAGCATTACAACAAGAAAATACAGATGAATAGGGATTCTTAATGCCTGAGAAGTTGTAAAAACTTGTCTAAAAGCCTGATCCAAGCTTTTGTTTTCTACGAATTTGGAACCAATCTAGTCAAAAGAAATATAAGATGTTTCTCTATTTTTTGCATCAGCTTCTCATAGAAAAGGATTCGCCTTTCACCCTACGCTTCTTCTCGTTCTTGATAAATCATCTTAGCAACTGATTACACACATGCTTCTGTAACATAAAAGGGGATTGCGAGAGACTATAATTTCTAAAAAAAGAAATCTTTTGATGTGGTCATACTCTTCTGGCTTGAAGTTAACAAAATTGTCAATATCTTTCTTCAAGAATGATTGCTTGTGTAGAGTGATTTTTCTTTTGGGTATTAAGAGCACAGGCATTCGTGCTAAGCACCTGTCATTTTGGCTGCGCTAGGTGGTAGGCGCAGAAGTTTAGCACTGGAAACTAATCCAGCCTCACTGCTGGAATGAAGAATATTCATCTTCTTGAATCACATAAAAAAAAATCTCTAGCTAGTACCTACTTGTCCCGTCATACACCTAAGAGAAAGATTCATTCTCGGAATCTTTGCTCGGTTTCCACTAAACTTTAGCATTAGCTAAAATCCTTACGTTGTTACATTTCTGACAGCAGAGTTCCTTGGATGCCTCTGTTTACACACAATCGCGCCTCTTGGTACTGGTCATAATAATACCCAAATTGTGTAAAGATTTATGAGCTACATGTTTTCTGCTGGCTTGATCAACAGAGCCTGATCAAACAGATAACCTCGACTTACTGTACGTTAGACAAGAAAAAATCAATGTAAAGAGGTGGTGACATTGCAGTATTCTTATTTCAACAGAGCACTCAACTTGTATTAAAGAGATCTGCTTGAAGAAACCTGAACCCACATACTGCCAGGAGTATGTCCTTCCTGCGAGGAAGGGGCGTTCTCTGGGGTGGGTGTTTGTGTGGGTGTTTGCACATGTGTAAGGAAAAGAGGGAAGGGGATTCTGTGATAAAGGTATTCCATTTTCTACATATATAGATTTTATATATATGATATTTTTCATATATGTTTGTGTGTATGTGTATAAATTCAGTATATATTCTCACACTCATGCTCTGTCTGTCTGCCCCCGTGAACTTCTAATTATCCCCTGTGAGGGTGAACTGCTGTAGCAGAAGTGACTTAGAACACCTTGGGCCTAGAGTACTCTTAAGCTGTATCTACATTAGTAAATTAAACAGTGCCTAGGAATGCTCCTAGGCATTGGAACGCAATTGCTCTCCTGGGGTAAAGTCCTTTCAAATAAATCAGGAAATTAAGCCAAATTCTCTCGCATCTTGGGATACTGAATGCCACTAGTTATGGCATAGTTATGTTATCTGTCACAGTGTTAGTTTAGCAGATAAAAGAAATGTCATTTCTAAAACGTCATTTATGTAATCATTTATGTCATTCATGGACAAAGTGTTGCTCTGTCACATCTCTGCACATTGCATACAGAAAAGGAAGAAATACAGTTCAAACAGTATGCTCTAAAAATACAAATTCTTTCTCAAAAGAAAGATTCAGTACTACAAATGGAGCTTAAGTGTGCAGCAGGTGGCATTCGGATGTGTGTATTTAAATGCCTTATGCACATAGCAGCAGTTCACACAAGTTACATTTGGGGTTTCATGTGTACGTCTCATTTATGTTTGGTGGATCTTGATTAACTTTTAATTTCTTCTCTCTCTTCCTGCTTTAGTGACACTGGAACTAAACCTCCAGAAAGCGGTATCTTTGGTTTTATGATTAATATTTCAGCACTTTTAGGTATGTATGAGGTACTTGGTTTGAACACAGCAAAGAAATAAAACTAGCAAAAGCTGTCTGCTTACACTGCAGTCCATACAATATCCTGCAGAAAAAGCACTCCACAGTCAAGGGGCAGTATGAGATAGAGATGGAAGTAATATCTGGAGGGCCAGGTCCTTAGGGTCAGTAAGTGCAGGCTTAGAGCACTTCTGTCTCTTAAGAGCACCTCGTCAGTGCAAAGTAGTCAGTGCACCTGGAAATAAAAAGTGGAAGAAAGCTGGCATTATTACTTTGCCAAAACTGTGTCTTTGGTACAGGGAGACATTAGGTTCTAGGACGCTGCAGCAAGGGGAAGAACAGTGTTGAAGCAACACCTGGTTTCCTCTGCAAGATGCCCACTCCTCCATTAAATGTTTAGTGGCCTTGAATCAGGAAGTTTTGGCATTTTCTGTTCACTTCTAGGGGATGGAGGATCAAGAATTGTGTACCTCTGTATACATGCAGTCCGTGATGGCCTTCATGCAAAGTGAAAATCACATATTTTACTGTTTGTAAGAGCCTCATTCAGTCACACTATCTTGGTGTGTTTCATGTAACCTCATAGTGCCTGGAAAAAGTTACCTGATTTATTTTTCCAACTGTAGTTACACTGAAACTATGTTCTTTGTTACTGAACTGTGGAATCCAGTCTACAGTTTATTATATCCTGATAAACCACGATCTTCTGATTCAGTAGAGGTGTTTGTCAGGGGTGAACTGCATATTGGGGTCAGGTAGGCTGCAATAAAATTTGTGTGTAGTGGTTTGGGGACTCTCTTGTACTAAAGAGCAGCCAGAATTGGCCCAAAAACTTTGAAAATATTTTCTGGATGCACAGCTAGTTACACTTTTTTTATGCTTACACTGTACAAAAATGTATTCATTCTTCAGGGCATCCGTTGTAAGGAGATGTAGTACTGTTACAAGACTGCGTATCATAACAGAATAAATTCTCCCACTTCTATCTTGTGGCTCATCTCCCTGTAACAGCTACTCCTAATGTGGAATGCCAGTGCCTCTGTGCGTGAAACGTACAGGAGAATGGGATTTAAATTAGTGTTTTTCTTGGAGTGATGTGCAGTTATTTCTAGATAACATTAATGTTAGTTCTATCTGAAAGTAATACATCTGAAATTCACTACTTTTCTTCTTCACCCCAGTAGAGTTAAAGGCATTATTATTTATTGTATTATGATTATAATTTTATTCTGTATGCAAATATGTTACAGGGCAAGATGTTAAAATGCAAGCGATACATTATCTTTGAACAAAATACCTATTTTTTTGTTTTTCAGGTGTAATTACAATGTACATCAGATACTTATTAATAGAGAAGCAAAATGAATCATCGCACTTTGTTAGGTCTTCATGCAACATGTTTTCATTATGTATTGGATTGATGGGCTGTATTGGAATGGGCATAGTTGCAACTTTTCAGGTATGACCATAAATTTCATATCATAAATTAAACTAAAGTTGGTTTACCAGTTAAAAAATCAAATAGATTAGATTAACATTATCCCAGTGTGGATAGTTGGCGAACGGAGTAAGAATGTGTTTTTTGTTCTTGCATTTTTTCGGTAGCTTTAAAAAGACGGATTTGCTTTCTCCCTATTAGCTAGATTTTTTGCTTGTATGGTTATGTCAGTAAGGGGTTTTGTGTGTGCTTGTCTTGTAACATGTCTGTACTAGAAAACAATATAGATGCTTTTGCTGTAAAATTTTTACTATGAAAATTTTACTGTAAAAAAGCTTTGTTGTTTGCAGTTTAGTTCCCTTACAGTCAGGTAGGGAAGAATAAGTCAGGCTAGCAAAAGCACCTGTGCTGTTACCTGAATGACGGCACGCACACTAGCAGCATATTCTACAGAGTAAACTTGGCTTGGCTGACAGGTTAGAGCATTGAGCACAGTATTAGCCCATTGTTTTGTGTCTGTAGGAGACGGCATAACAATACGTGAAGTCTTTTGATAGAGACATGTAGAATTACCACTTACTTTGCCAGGAAGGATAAGATATCTCATTATAAATCAAAGAAGTCCAGCCCTCAGTGTCTGAAAGACAGTTCAAAAGAGAGGAACAATATTGAAACAGATTATTCTTTTCACCTGTTCTAGTGAGGAAGCATGTAATAAGGTAGATTCTGACAAGGGGAAGTATTAGGACAATTGCACTGAAAACTTCAGCTGAGAATCAAGTTTAATTGGCAGTGCCTTTAAATCTGTGGAAACAGCTGAATTATTTCTTTTAAAGGGTGTTATAACTGGAGTAACATTTTGATAAATACTGTTGTGCTCATATAGTGACCTGACAACATACAGAGAAATTGAAAATAAAGATTGTCAGAGCTTCAGCAGTCAATATAATTTTGGAAGTAAGTGACACGATATTTTCAGACAAAAAACTCTGCCTTAGGCTGATACCTTGCTGGTTTTAGTTTTTCCTCCAGGCCATGTGTGTGGATTGCAAACACTACAGGCACTGCAGTCTATTCTAAGCATGTTATTCTACGTCTAAATATCTGTACTCATTGAGAAGATTTATATGTGACATATAAAAAAGTTAGATGATGGGGAACAGTGTTGTTTGACTGAAATAGAAAGCAAACTCAGCTTCAATAAGGAAAAGACAAAATCAGGAATGCAAACTAGTTTGAGAGAGTCAGGGAAGCAGAAACTTTGATCCTAAAGTTTCCAAAGGGGCCGCTTGACAGTTACAACGTTGGTTTTTATCTAATCTCTGTCGTCTCTCATTGCCTGTTCATAAACTCCTTCCTCACTTGATTTCTCTTTCCTCTGCTTTGACCTTACTTTGCATGTTTGTAGGAAGGGTTCAGAACACAGTAAGGATTGAATCTAGCTGAGGATCTGATCTAGCAGATTTTTGAGCATGCTTAATTGCCCAGGAAGATGGAAATGGTGGCTTGCGAGTCTTCAGTCTTTCAACTGTATAGTGTACAACTAGTGAACAGTACACTCTTTTCCCCATTTACCAGTAGAATAACTGAGACATGAAGAAGCTGTGAGATTTGCTGAAGGTCAGGTGATCGTTTCAGGTCAGGAGACCAAAGCAAAGCTGGAATTAGAAGTTATTTCTTTGACATTCGATCTGGTCCGTCTAATCAGGGGGTCAACGCAGGAATTTCACATTCATGTGCACTACCTCTTTGTTTCTTGACACTTATTTTTCCCCAGCAGGTGAGCTAACACCATACCTGAGCACTATAGTAGAGGTGATTGACATGTTCAGTTCATTTTGTCTTTCCCCAAAGGAAAGTATCTAGTTTGTTGAAAAGGCTTCAGTGTGAAATTATACTGGAAATATTTAAGATTTGCTTTTATTTATTCAAATGTCATTCCACTTGTGATGAGTCTTTTTAAGTAGCATGATCAGCTGTAAGTTTTTTCTTTTTCATCCTTTTTGCTTCAAGGTAAGATATGCTAGGTAGCATAGGGTTTTATTGATACTGGTCTCTGAACACTTAACAAAAGTGAGAAAAAGGCTGGGAGAAAATGCTACGAGTGTTTCTGAGGAAAAAAGTAACGGTCACAAATAAAGTGTTTATTCTCTGTTTTAAAGAACATAATGCTTGAAATGTAAATATATAAAAATGAAAGACCGTGGAGGGTTAGCTGTAAGAAGGTAATTGGATATTGCAGGAAAAATCCTGTAGCCCTTAATGAATAAGAGAAAGCAAAAACCCAGGTCTTAGCAGGTCTGTTTTTGCCTGTTAGATGTTAAAGAGAGATGATTACAGAGAGATCTTCACGCTTCTGACTAGAAAGCGTAGGGGACTTACCGCACCAGATGTAGGAGCATTTCCCAGGTTGTGTAGGGGTTGAATGTGATGGGCTTTTTAGGGAAGCTGTGGCAGTTCGATAGGAGCAATCATGAGAGCCGTGTTAGAAAAGTTCTATATATTGTGTATGGGGCTAAATGCAAAAGCCAACAGTTACACTTGCTTAATGCTTTCCATACCAAATCCTGTCATTCCTATGTGGAAGGCAAAAAGTAGGACAGAGGGGAAGAAAATGCAAGTATAGATGAGATGCCACTTAAATAACTGTGTGAAAAACCTGCCTTAAAATGTGATAGAACTTAATACAGCACAAGGAGATAGAAGGGAATGAGTACAAAGGAAAGCACAGGGAAGAATCTTTATAAAGAGCATGTGAAAGTAATCACCATTACAAGACAAAGAAAACAGTGGCCTCCAGGCAGGAAGTATGTTAAAATATGTAATGAAAGGATATAGATGTGTTTTTATGAATCAGTAAAATAGAACTGTAGTAGGGCAGATCGTAGCACGTGTTTTGCTATGCTTTGGTGACAGAAAGGAGCCTTAAAGCTAACTTACCTGTCTGATATTGGATTCCAAGGTGGCATAACTTTGTAATTTTTTTAAACATTCAGAATACAATGATTTCTCTGGAGTCTTCATCTGTTTTGTTACTGGATTTTTCTACTTGTTTGTGTTTTAAAGGAGAGAATCTTCTATAGGTAGGTCTTACAAAAATATAGGCCACATATGTGATACTGGATTTTTATACACACCTTCACCTGTTGCGGAACTTGAATAAAAGTGGCTAATGATGTGGGGAAGTGTAAGAGGGCTGAATAATTCAAGAGACTGACAGCATGAGACTTTCATATCAAGAACTTATTTCAGGAAACCCTTTTTTTCTTTAAATATATAACTAATTTTATGCTGACTTGTTTGCTGGGGCCTTGTGGCTGGCCTCTGAAGGGTGGGGAACAGAGCTATAGCAGTCGCTGTTTAGAACAGCTCCCATGAAACTTTACTGTTACTTAGAGTATGGCCACACAAATGTGGATTAGAATTTCAATGCAAAAGGGTGAAAATCTTTGGCAGGGTAAAGGGAAAAAGAATCTATAGGAACCTCTTAAGTAAAACACAAGCCAGCTTCTGTTTGTGGAAACATTAACTATAGACCAACTGTTGAACAGCACTAAAATTGATTTATGCTTTTATGTGAACACAGGAAAGGACTTTGACCTGGTGGCTTTGGACATGGTTAGTTTACCTCTCTGAACTACTCTTTCTCCTTTTTCTTTCATCTTCCCTGTGTAGACTGTTGAGAGAAGGGACTGTTTCCCACTGCTTGTACGTGCCCAGCATAATGTGGCTACCGTCTTCTCAGGGCTCAGTGATTCCTACCGCTGCACAAATAGTAGCAGCTAACCATTGTGCTGATTCTCTTTCCAGGAGCTGTCTGTTCCCAGTGTCCACGACATAGGAGCTTTGGTGGCATTTGGCTCGGGTGTTGTATACATTACACTTCAGTCTATAATCTCTTACAAGTCCTGTCCACAATGGAATACTTACTTTGTGTGTCACATAAGGATGGCCATATCTGTAATATCATGCATTGCTTTCATTCCCAGTATCCTTTATGGTGTATCCCACAGTTTTCCCTTTATGCATTCATGATTTTCCTTTTAAGTTAAACCATTGCTGATAAAGCATGAAAATGAGGTCACAATCTTTGCTTAGGGTTGTCTAATATTTCTGCTATAATAATGCATATAGCATGTCAAGACACCATTAATAGCATAAAGATGAGTTTCAGAGTCTTTCTAAAAAAGCTGTATTGCTTCTTTAAGTGGTATATTTAAATCTAATGCCCCAGTATCCTTCATGGGATCATATGGTAATTCAGATAGGAAGGGACCTCAGCAAGTTAGGCAGACCAACTTTCCAGCCTCCTCCATTTGAGGCAGGGTATGGAGAAAGACCTGCAAAAGGGGCACGCTGCTTCTGAAATGAACCTAACACATGGACGTGTAAAATACAGTTGGCATACACAAGATTTCCTTCAAGCCTAAGCAGATGCTTTGGATCGTGTCGATAGGTGCTTGTCTTCATTAGATGCTTCCTCTAGAGACGCAGTTGACACACTTCCTGGCTTTCCCCACAGCCTGCTGAAATCAGAGTCATCCCATTGATTTTGTTGGGCTTTAGGTGACCTACCAGTGTTGAAAAGTTTCAGCAGCTGTGAAAGGGCTTTTAAAGAGGCCCCCAGGCCTGAGAGAAAGTTGTACAAATATATCAAGGCACCTGTTGTGGACCAGTGGAAACCAACATGGTTCCCCTTCCAATGATGCAGGACTCTGCTCGTGCAGTTCTCAATCAAGAATGTGATCTAAGTTTTGGAGTGTTTCCCCTTACCCTCTGTACTTTGGAAGAACGCACAGAAACCTTTATTTGTGCAGAAGTTTGTTTTGATTGCCACTATCAGTTACCTTCCAATCATGTGTTTCATTTACTTGTCTTCTTAATACTTTGATTTGACATTCTGATTGTTGAGGATCTCCTGTGCTGCAGAAGGGGGAGATGGGGTCTTTTTTTGTAAGCAGATATTTTCACTATTGCTCACTAAAAATTTATAGTTTCCTTTACACTGTATTTTTCCCAGTGATTGTGTTTGCTTCACGAATTTCCATCACAAAAATTGATTGGACTCCAGGTGAAAAGGTAAAATCTCATGAGATAGCCAACTTACCCTGTATCATTTTATTTGAAGGATGCTGTTATGTTTATCTGAAAGTGTATATCGTACAAACACTTCAGAGACTCTAAATAGCCCATCATCATGAACAGATTTGTGAAATCTCACCAATTTGTGCAGTGCTGGTTTCCAGTTATTTCCTCATCAGAAAACTGTCTGCGGCTTGGGTAACGTGTCACATATGGGTAAATCTTCAAAGAGCCAGACTTTCATTTTAACCAAGCTTTTGAAACTTACCCATAGAATAAATTGTAAAAATAAATTAAAATATTCTGGAAGTGAGTTGTTCTACTTCCTTTTATGGTCACATTTCTTGAAAATGAACTTCACACATGAAACGAAAGTTGACCAGTTTGATCCTGAAGTTTTGGAGGTTTTTTACAACATTGGTTTTCTCAGCTTTTTCGCCGTTCTTTATTAAAGAATCTTTACTGTTGTGATGACATTAGGGGTCCAACGTGAAGCATGCTGAAGTCAATATCAGGTATTTGAATTTATTTCAGTGTTCTCGGAATGATAACTATGAAAGGTAAGTTTTCTTTCTGGACAAAGTTTGCCACATGGAGGTATTCAAAAAACAGGTTAAATAACGCAGAGAGTGTATCCCGCTTGAAGAGCATAATAAAAGCAATAGTGGCAAATGTACTTCAACCAGACAGTGGCAAGGCAGCTGTGAGATAAATCTTCACAAGTTAGATAATCTTAGTCATATCTACCTCTTGAGGTTTTGGGTTTTTTTTTACTTGAGATGCAAGGATGAGAAAATGTTTTTACTGAAACATGACATATTTGTTGTTGTTGGCATGTTAAGAAATACTTTACATTCTGTTTGTGTCATATTACGTAAGTTTTCTATGATGATCTACTTAAAGGTCTGGTCAGGAACTGTCATACAAGGGTAGCCCTCCATTTTAAAACAGCGTGAGAATTTTCTGTAAGGGACAGTACTACGGAACTCAGTGGCCCTGAGTAAAAATTTTAAATATGGGACTTTGGTATCCTTCACATGTGAACTAAAATTTTAGTGGTGCAGATTCAAGCTATGTTTTGATCTTGTGCTTATTGTAGTTTTCTTGTACTATTTTTTTATGTTATTTCACAAGACGTTGCATAATGGAACATATGCAACCTTGATAAATATGCTTACCATTCTGTAAAAACTAAATCTGAATTGACTTTTATACAACAGGGTATTGGGATGATGAGTCAGAAGTCTTAGAATATTTGTTGAATTTACAGAAGGAAATGTCTATTTTCATAACATCCCACATTTATTTTGTTTAGCTGTTTTATCTGAAATTTTGTTTTATGTCTCATTCCATCAGGATTATACTTATCATTTTGTGAGTGCGATCTGTGAATGGACAGTGGCCTTTGGTTTTATCTTCTTCTTTTTAACATTCATTAGAGATTTTCAGGTTGGTATCTACATATTTTAGCAGTGACTATGAAGTGCTATGAATTGTATAACAACAAATGCAATAGAAAATTACCATTCTTTATCTCAGCTATATACACCAAAGCTATACAGAAACATATTTTATCAGTCACAGAACTGATTTCTGTCTACCTAATGAATATTTTTCCCCTGGGTTTTAAACATAAAAATCAGTTTTATAAATCAGCTTAATAGTTTAATAGGTCTCTGGTCTTGAAAATTATCCAGTAAATTAATGTCTTCTACTTATTTACCAATCTTTTTGTAGAAAGAGGTCCTCTAAAGGTGACATGATACCAAAATAAATGATGCAACTAAAACTGCGTTTCCTTCTACCTGAGGAATTTTACATAACAATTCAATGCATTTCAACTATAGACATTTCCTTTCTTTTTAAAAATTACACATTTTGCTATCTGTTCCCTCACAATGCAAAGAATATCAAATACTTTTTCAAATGTATTAACATGAAAACCTTCTGGTTTGGGTAGCTGGATCTTGTGTTGCATCAAGCCTGACTTTAAGGAAGAGAAAATGTTAGGTAAAAAGTCAACACTTTTATATGATTTGTGAAAGGCATGCCTTGAACTTCCCCAAGCTTTGCCTTGCCAACTCTTGTTTACACAGCATGTTCTAGCTGCAGTGTTTCGTTGGGTTTTTGTTTGGTACAAGGATACAAAATGCTGAAAATACCAATGTGTGAAGCTTAACTTTGGCAAAAGAACTTGTAAAAAAATATAAAAAATATTGCTGATGGCAAGTGCCTTGTGGAGATTTGAGGACAAAACCTCTTGGATATTACTGTAGGTGTTAGGATGATCATGGCCTCCTTATCCTTCTCAGACTTCTGGATTTTTGTTTCCCCCATAAAGTAGTTAGATCTTTGCAAGACTGGACTAGAGAGCTTAAGGTAGAAAAGACTGAGAACTGGTGCTTTACACCATAATCACAAAGAAGAACTAACTCAGTTGTAATCACTGTAGATGTCAGACCCCATATGTTGGTCTTTCATATGTACCATTGCCTCACACAAGTCCCAGGAAGTCGAAAACTAGATCCAAGTACTTGTATACCGGTAGAACTAATAATCGAGATCACATATGTGAGCCAGTTGGTGCTGCGATAAATTGCTGGAAACCATATCCAGAATTTGTGGAGGTGGCAAAGGAGGAAAAATGGTGAGACCCCTCTTAAGTCCTCTAGCATAAAACCGAAGTTTGACATCAAATGATGTAAAACTTTGTAATTAGTTTACTTGCTTCTTCCCTTACATGTTTGCTTAGCATGGAAGTGGTTAATGCTTATGTATAGTCTGTACGTAACTTTCATAAACATATACAGAAATAAATTTTCAGCTAAGGATTCAGAGGTAACATGTTTGGCTAACTGATAGCAAACATTTCTACACCTGGTTTTGACTCATTGTACTGAATAGACGATGGCTGTAGGGCTTTCCCTTATTAAAAATAAGCTAGGTTCTGCAGAACAAAATGCTTCTTTAAAAAAAAATAATTGTTCAAAATTACACAATGCATTATCTTAAAGGCATATAATAGCCTTCTCAAGCTGTGAAAAATACCAGAGTACCATTCAGAAACGCATGCATCATTAAATTTACAATTTTGTGGGGGAGGTATTGATTGCCAGTCCATCACTCTCTGACATCTGCATATATGATGGTATCTGTTTTATTGAAAGTCATACTCTTGCTTTGGAGATACGTATTTGCAGACAATGCTGTAGTCCTCGTTGTTGATAAGTCTGCCTCAGATCACAGATCGCAAAGTGTTCAACACTGAAAATTTAACTATATGTAAATATTGTGAACATAAGAGAAAGGGATGGAATTAAACTAAATAGAAATGCAGACATTTTAAATTACAGGCTATAAAACAGCATGAAATCTAGTGTTAGTTTTTAACAATGAGAGAAAGATTTTTTTAGATTCTATCCTCTTTTTGTCCTAAACTATTATCACAGAAAACCAAACTACTAATTCAGAAAAAAACCCTGACAGACTGTAAGAAAAACAAGCCTTCTTTTTTTTTAAATTTCTCAGAGTATGTATTTCACTTAAATGTAGTTTTTTTATCTCCTTGTACTTAATTTATCACAGAACTGTAAAATTAATTTATCTTAAGCTGATCTTGTTTTATTTTTCTTTTAGAGACTTTCTTTAAGGATATCAACAGAAATACTCAACGACTCCTGATAGTAGAGAAAATTATATTTTATATATATATATGAACATTCTAGGTTTCTTTTTACTTATAGAAAATGTTGCAGAGGGAGAGGATTTTTCAAAGTTATATAAAGAACCCATGCCATTAACTCTGCAACATCTATAACAGCAACCACTAAAACATTTTGAAAACTGATCAAAGTTCCTGCTACCTTTTTGCAATATTTTGTATTTTTTATACTGTTTGATATATTAAGAATACTGTAATAGAAGCAATCTGTAGAAGCACTTGAAAGTCATTCAAAGACGTTTGATCTCCTCAGCTCTTCCATTTTGGACATATCCAAAAGATAATAAGAAAAAAAATCCTGGAAAGTTTCTGTAGTTAAGATATGGCATATTTGCTGCTATGAACTTACTTCTATAATGAAAGACTTGGAAAGGATCTAGCTGAGAAGTCAGATGTTACAAGTATCTGGAGGCAAAAGGGTCTTTCGTGAACTAATTCACTACCTCCATTTAGAGCATTAACCACTTGGCTATCAATCAAGTTCTCTGAAAATTACATTTGCATGGTCTATCATAGTTTATACACAAATATTGATGATTTTTCAGTTGCTAATTTTCTATGGGATAAAACAAATGCGTGGACAGTGATGTTTGAAGACTAGTCGTCTGTTGATATTTCCTTTAATGTGTGTTTTAACTGTATTAAATTCAGCTGTTTCACAACTTAAAGAGTCCACGTTTTCTTTATAAGTTCTTCCAAATTAAAATAGTAAAAATGTTTTTCACTGGCAGATTTTCTGTCCACAGTATTCAGGTTATCTTGCAGAGTTTTATAGTTACAATCAGGTTAAAAATCGAATCTAGTGCTGACTAAATGCAGCACTTACGTCTTACTTATTAGGTATCCTGCAGGGGGCACATGTTCCTTCAAGTGGAGATCAGAAATACAAGAAAAAGTATACCAACCATAAAAAGTGACATACTGTTATCTTGAAGGCCATGTTAAGAAAAGACCGTATTTCTTAGTGCAATTATTGTTCTTGTATTACTTTTAATTCCTAGCTTGCTTAAACTGAAGTGTAAGGAGCTTGAAGTTGTTATTTCAAATGATACCAGATATGAGATTTCAGCTCATCAATTTACTAAACATTTTACATGAATAAAAGAAATTAAGTTAACTTGAAGTTCAGCCTTAACTATATTAGTGTTTTTACAGTGAATCCAAGTAAACTTAAACAGGAAGAGAATTTTTTCCTGCCTCTGATTTAGGCAGGAAATCACCACAATAAATTTCACAAGTTTCAAGGTGAGAGAACTCTGAAAAAACATTAAATCACCATCCCAATACAAGGCTCCTGAAACAAGTTCCCACTTATCTCTTAGTACTCTATCTGCCTCAAAAGAATCATATCCAGGTTCCTGTGAACCTTTACAGTGCTTACAGTCTCCTAAAGACAAAAAAACCCACAAAAATTTTTTCCAAAAGTGGCTAAATCAAGATAATCTTGCTTGCTGACATCAACGTGTTAATTCAAGTACTGAAGAACTACCAAATGAAATCCTTCCCATTTTTCCAAGCTTTATCATGTACATTTTTATATGAGTTACAGCCATCACCAAAAGAATGCGTAGCCAACAGTTGCCTTTTTATTTAATTTGTTAGGCCAAAACTATGACCATGCATCTACATGCGGGTGGAGACAGTGGGTTATTGGCTTTTCATTGGTGCTGTGAACAACTGTTGAAAGGACTTTGATTATTCTCTGGTTCCAGGCAGCTTTTCAGTCACAGTCCTAACTGTTTCTCAGTTTAAAGATGAGTTGACATGTGGAAAGCAATTGAAAAATATTTTCCTCTACCAAGTTGTATCATTTTAGCAGTAGATGACTCTTGTTAAATAATGGTATTTAACTTTTTACAATCAAATGTTTTCTTCAGGTTAGTACAGATAATGTCACAGTACACTTCTCTTCCTTTGCACAGACCCTTTTTTCTGTATTTTCACATTTCTTAGCAACAAGAAACACCTGGTTTTTTCTTGGGAGCAATACTAGAAATATTTTTACCATCTACTCTGTTTGCATGATGTTTTCTGTTTGTCAGCCCATCGTGACTGATTGAGAAACTTCTTTTGAATAAACTGCAATAAATCACATGACAGTTATTTTTAGTGATTACACTAAATCACTTCTCTAACCCTTCCAAAAGTGCAGTGCCTGATTTTTCTAGGTTGTGCAGCTGAATCTACTGATGAAATCCTACCATTGAGGTCTCTATCACAGTTCCAAATCATGAAAGGATGAAACTCAATGGCCTCAACATACCTAAACCCTGCTTTGTCTTCGGACGCTGTTACTGTCTCTGCTCTTCTCTGCCGTGTGTGCTCAGCCAGTGATCAACACATAGTGCACCTTTTTTTTTTTCCTCATAAGGTATTCCAAATTTTTATTTCTGATCTGCTCTATTTGCATACTGCCTTATCTCTGACAGCAGCGTGTATTTGATAGTAGTAAAACTGTCTTGATGTCAAAGGCTTTATTATTTGGTGGTAGTACTGGTTGCAAAATTTTCAAGCAGACTAGAGGGATTATGGCAATATATGTCAGTAAGGTTTGGACAATTCAGTATGAAGTTTGAAGACATTCAAGAGCTTGGTATGTTAAACTGCTCTGTAAATACAGAGACTTAATCTCAATATTGACACCACCCTTTCACAAGCCATTGGGTTTTGGAGGGTCTGCTTGAAGACTGCAGAGTGTCTGGGGTTGGTGAGCTGATCCTAGTGATTTACAATGTCCACTACAAATAGTCTCGCTGGAAGAGCTGTTTTGCTCCAAGAAATGGTGAAAGGCATCACAGTGCTTGGATTTTATTTTTTTTTAACCCCTTTAAGAATGGGTAGTGTTCTTTTCCTTGGAAGATGAACTAATGTCCCTTTATTTGGGAGAAATTTAACATAAGGAAGTAGCAATAGGTTTTAATTTACAAGATTTCTGTAGCTTTGAGTAAAACTATCACGGTTGGTTCTGTCTTTGCATTTGTGTGTGCTTGCCTGTGTGATCCATACATGCAGACAAGAATGGTATTGGCATGATGAAGCCTGACAGTGGGTAGAATACTGTACATTGCTGTAATACACAGAAGTGATAATTGCTGCATTTTATAAAAAACAAGTAATTTTATGAGCTTGGCTATGTTTTCTAATAGGTACTGTAACGCAGAAAGAGTATTTCTCACATTTTAAAGACAAAATAGGCAACTTCCACATTCGGTAACTGTATTTTTCCCTGTACACAATAGATGGCACTAGCAGACTACATGATCAGGGTTCATTTTCCACGTTCAGGCTGGCAAGTACAATAGTTTTGTAGGTAGCTTTAACTGTTTTTAATAGTCATCTGGAGGCCCAGTGAAATGATGTTTTTTATTATGCCTTCGTGGAAAACAAGTCAGATCTAAGTTTCCTTGCCATCCCTTCCTGCCTTAATCTAAGCAAATATGTTTTGCTGCTGAAACACATAGTTTCATAGCAACTTCAGTATTCAAATTAATTTGTCTAAAATCAAAGGAGCCACTTGCTGTAGTTACCTCTGGCAAAAGCTGCAATTCCGCTGTCATCATGAAGCCACTTCCCCTGGGAAGTTTTTCCTACCCTATTACAAAGGGTACGTTTTACTCAGTAGCTTCAGTAGACTTCTGTCAGTTTGCAGTGGAGCATCAGAAGACAATATAGACGTTATTTTCAAGAGATAACAATATAAAAAGAACAAGATTTTAACATTTCAAAATTTTAGCCATTTTGCACCCAGAAACAGTGACAGGTCAGGTTGTAAAAAAAATTCAAAGGCAGCTGCAGTATCTATTTAAAATTCCCTTTTGTTTACGTATAATGTGTCTGTTTTCAGTTATTTCCTTGCTGAACTGAACACTGGGATAGTATTTTTTGCACCATCTTCTGTGAAGTGTAGCAATAATCCAGGCCTCTGAACAGTTGTTATTTTACCTGGAATTCTACAAGTTCAGAATTCTCGGTCTTATGCAAGCCACTCCGAGCTTAGATATTCCTCTAAAAACTCTCATCAAGTGTTGCATGGATTTTTTTTTTAATAAATATAGAAAGTACTTTAACAAAATATGAATACTTTGTCGTTGACAGACACTTCTTACTCCGCAACATGGCTCCTCTCCCAGCACACACCATAAAATTCATTGTAAGTGGAAGGTACATTTGAAAGAAGGTTTCTCTGACGAACATTGAGACTTTCATCACAAGAGCTGCAGGAACAGTCCCTGTAGCTCTGCCTTCGTTATAGACATTAGCAGTTGACGGATCTCCTAGCAAAGAGGTATCTTTTGTTCCTCTTAAGCTCCATCCAATAGTTGAAAGACAATAGATGATTTTCATGGACTTTTTTTCTTTTGCTTTGCATTATTGAAGAGTATTTTGCTGTGGCAATGCGAAGAAAGAGAGTGGCAGCAGCACAGACTGACGCCAGCTTGGTAAGGTGGTGACAGCAGGCGTCACTCAAGGGTGCAACGTCACAGGCAGAGGCAGGTCGGTAGGAGAAGCTAATCTGTCTGCCACAGGGGTTTGGTTTTGTGTTGTTTTGCTTGGCAAAAGCAGAAACCACGCAAAAAGTCAATAGCTTAAAGTTAATCTTAAGGGTCTTGTGGAAGACTAGGGAAATTCTAACCAGGAAAAAAGGAAGTAACGCTGCTAATGAGATATAATACGTGCCTGAGCTTTTATCGTTGTGCATAATGGCTCTTTTTGATCTTTATTCATTTTAGCTAAAATCTGGAACTATTTATCTTCTGTCAATGGGTGACTGGGTGATGCAACTGTTTAGCAATACTATAATTCAAAGGAATTTTTTTTATTCAAATCAACCAGCTTCCCCCTTAAACATCCAGTGTGTAGATGGTTCAAAAGCCTTGACCACGCTCCAATCAAACCCTCTGAAACAAAGGCTTGCGCAGCTAGGCTTTGTCATATCCCAGCATTTCTAGGCTGGCTCTGT